GAAGGGAGTGTGGGGCAACAGGAGGCTGGAAGGCACGTCGGAGCCCACCACGCGGGGCCTGAGGGCTGTGGGAAAGATGTTTTTCTGTATGGGTTTGCATTTTGCACAGCCCAGTGTGGCCGTGGGGTGGACGGTGGGCTTGGGGGAGGCCAGTGGGGAATACGGGAAGCTGTTTCAATTGTCCTGATGGAGGGGATGGCAGTGGGACTGAGTGATGACAGGGCACGTGGAGAGAACCAGGTAAATGGTGGATACAAGCGGGAGCTAGGATACAAGAGGATGGACCATGCGGAGCCAGGAGAAAGTTGATGCCAAGATTGACCTTTGGAGCCCATGGCAGGGCTTCTGTCCAAGAAGGGGGACCCTGGGAGAGGAGCGGTGCAGGGAGGCGGTCAAGGTGCAGCTGTGGACATGCTCACGGTGAGGTTGAAAGTTAGTCAAAGGCTCCCAGAAGGAGCCTGGGCTCCAGGTACACATGTGTGAGTAATCTCCTTAGAGGTAAGTCTCTTGGTACCTTCAGTGGGTGGAGACGAGGCCGCAGAGGGCGAGAAATCGCAGTCAGAGGAGAAGACTCAGGACTGAGCCTTGGGGAACAGCGCATGTGGTGGCTGGGGAGAGAACGGTGGGCTGAAAGAGGGACTGAAAAGGCAGGGGTGGATGGGGAAGGGGGACCACAACAGGGGTTCTTGGAACCAAGGGAAGAGCGGGCTCAGGGAGGGGCAGCGGTCAGCGAGGAGAGCCCAGGAACACCCTCATCTCTCTGGGGCTGCCACCTCCTTCACCTCCTTGGGTCTCTTCCACAACCCTGAAAATAGGAAAGGAGAGCATAGCCCCTAGGACAGAGGAGAAAAGAGCTGCTCCAAGGTGTCCGCCGCCACACCCACGGTCCCGCATCCAGTAGAGGGTGCAGCGGGGCCAACTTCCCCACCCCTGCCTGTCATGTCTTCACCACCCCACCTCTCCCTGTCCCTCCCTGTGGCCCCGCACACTTGCCCCAGCAAGTCTGTTCCATGCCACTCCTTGTTGATAGAAAGCACCAGAGAGGGTCAGAACTGCAGCATGAAGGGACCCCCCCCGCCCCCGCACAAGCTCCGGGTCTGAGCCTCGCTAGCAGGAGGGTCTGCTGAGTCAAGGAAATATCGTGGCCTCTCCTGAGAGGCAGTGTAGTGTTGTGTCAAGAGCATGGGCTTCTACCCATCCTCCCATTTGTCTGTTCATCTGTTTGTTCCTTCCTTCCTTTAGCAACTATTCTCAAGTGCCTCCTATGTGCCAGGCACACTTTCTAGCTGAGTGGCCCCTTACTTCTCTGAGCCTCAGTCTCCATTCCTGTAAAGACAGGTCGACCATCCCTGCCACATGTAACGAGGATGACGTGAGCTCAGGCGGGTGACGTACTCGGCACACAGGAAGTGTTCATTAAAGGCTAATGTCCTTCTTTTCCCTTCCCTTCCCTCCCTTCATCCCGCAGGACCCACGAGGGAGTGAGAGGCCAATACTTCATGGCAACAGCCCTCTGCCGTGCTCAGAGGGCAGGCGTGTGTCGGCACATACACCTCTGTGTACGCACCTGTGTGCACATCCCCGAAAGTCCCACCGTCTCTGCCCGTGACTCAAGGCCAACACCAACCTGAGCTTTGAACCCATGGGATTCAGCAGACCCAGACCCATTGGCTGCTCCATCCTAGGCCAGAGGACCCCAGCACCCACCATGTGCTCTGGGAGTCCCCAGACTCAGGCTAGGGTGTGTCCTCGGTGGTTTGGGGGCGGCTGCTGGGTCCTTAGTGGCTCCAGGAGTCAAATTTTGGTGACTAGAAGCAGGATCTTCAGCGTTCTGGGGCTGGGTCTAGAGAGCCTCGGAGGGCAGCATCCTCACCGATTCCTGGGCCAGTGTCCTTAGCAGTTCCTCAGACAGTGGCTCTCCCGGCTGCTCCTCCAAGGGGCCTCCCACGTGTCTGGAGGAACCTAAGCACCCACAGGCTCTTGCAGCAGCTCAGAAGATTGCTGGAGCACAGGGTGCAGGACATCGCTGGCTTCCTGGGGGGACACAAGCATAGGTTAGGGCTGAGGTGACCACTGAGCAAGGCCAGTTGGGCCAGACTTTGCCTCTGGCCTTTGCTTCTTCTAAGCCGGGAGCTGGGAAGGGTGGGGTGGCATGGGGCGGGGAACCTCCCACGTGAAACAGGGACTTGTTCCCTCAACCCACAATGGGGAGCATCCAGGAGACTTGCTTTCAAACCCCAAATCAGCTTCTAACATGCTGTGTACCCTTGGTCAAGTTACTTAACCTCTCTGAACCTTAACTGAAGGTAAAAATAACCACCTTTCCAATTCTTGAAAGCATTAAGTGTTATAAAATATGTTTAAAAGTATCCCACACATTGCCTGGCTCATGGTAGGAGCCCAGTGAATGTTTGCTATTTCTGTGTCTGAATAAAATGATTCCTGAACACCTACATCATGTTTTGCATGAGTTGGGGGAAGGCTGGGAGAAGAAGACACAAAGATTTATTCAGCCTTGCATTAAAATCAGTTGTGAATGTGTCTGTCTCTCCATTAGAATGTGTGGTCCCTGAAGGCAAGGCGCTTGCCTTTCAAATCCCTACTAAGTGGCTGCCGGCACATAGTAGGTCCTCAGTTATGTCCATTGAGTCAAGCTGATTGAAGGTCACTGAACGTAAGTTAGCCAAACACTTGGGAGGAAAGTTTTTAACAAAGTATTTGACATACATTTTCAGAAAGATGAAGACTTCCCCCATATCTGGGTATACAAAATTCCTTTGGCCTATTGCCTGCTAAGATGTGGACAGCTGACCTGCTTTTTCCTTCCGATACTTTCAGTGAGTAAGAATTCCTTCATCGTTTTTATTTCAAGCCTTCTGAGGTCAAGAGAAAAAGCCTCAGTGTGGAGCGCCTGTGTTTTTAGTACTCAACACGCAGGTGTCCCTTTATAACCCGGAGTTGGGGCAGGCTCAGAGCTTTAATCAGGCAATGGGATCTGGCCAAACTTGGGTGGCATTGTTTTGTGTCATTGTTTCTATGATCACAAGTACTTTCTGTTTTCCACAAGTGATACTGCATTTCCATTTATGGTGATGATATAAAGTCTTATAAATATATTTCAGTGAAAACAGCCAGGTGGTGTAGAGACTTAAGTGTAAATTATGCAGTTGGGAGAGGACTATGGGCTGCACAGGGAAGGGGATTTGCAAGCAACTGTGGTTTGAGGAGTGTCCTTGCAAGTCCTGGCCCATCCTGTCTCCTGCTTGGCCCCAATGCAGGAGAAGCTAAGCATTGCTTGGTGTCCCTAGACACTTTGCCTGGGGTCTCTGCAGCTCCAGGGCAGGACAAAATCTGGCTTTAGCTCTGTCTAAGGCAATGGATGCTACTTAGTTTCTTGCTTCCCTGCCTTGGCTGGAGCAGTAGTTTTCTTCATCCAGTTTCAGGCTGGAAGCTAGCCCTTGCTTGGTCCTGACACTCACTGCGGGTCCTCCGGATGTCCCGTGAAACTCGTGCCTGGCCTCAGCTCTAGCCCTCATCTGTTAAGGTATTCTGGCCACCAGAGGAATCAAACTCACTCTCTTCCACATGGAGAGAGAGAAAAGCATCATGCTTCCCCTTAGAGTCCATCGGAGGGGAGTATAGATTTGGATGCCTGCTTTTGTAAAGGCTTTATGAACAACGACACAGCCAACACCCACAGCCAACACCCAAGCTTCCTCGGATGCATGGTATGTTCTGGCTTAGCCAGTACTGGAGGCCTTGCATGGCCCAAGCTCTCTCGTGGGTTTGGCCAGCCCCACCGTCCCCAGAACACCTGCCCTCACCTGGACCTCCAGGTCACACCCCTGCACTTCAGAGGCTCCGGTTCTTCTCCATGCCAGCAGTGTACATATTTGACCAAGTAGGCAGGTATCTACCCTTGGATTAACATTCCAGATGGAGCCTGAAGTGTGATAAAGTGACTTTCACGTAGATTAGATTGAAATTATCAAAGACAAGCTAGCTCTAGGCTAGGAAATTACCTCCCTTCTTCTTAAAGGCTGTAAAATCATTTAAAATAATATTATTATGGAAGTATCACATGTTCATAGTAAAAAATTCAGAACATAGAGACTAACAAAAAGAAGAAAATAAACATCTCAAATAACTCCACTACTCAGACATATCTTTTTGCTACATGGAGATTGTGTCAAAAAATATTTTTAAATGAAATACATCAAAGAGGCTATATAAAAAACGCATGTGTGTGGCTTAAAATATTAAAGAATATTAAAATGAATACAAGTGTAACCACCTCTCAGGTTAAGAAATAGAATTTACCAGCCCCTGATTTGTTTCAGCAAATATGTATGTACCCCTGAATAATATACTGTGTTGTTCTGCCAGGATTTTACTTTTATATAAATGGAATCATGTTTTAGGGTTCTTTTCTGCAGCTTCCTTTTTTTAGTTGTTGTTCAACATTATACTTTTGAGATTAAACTCTGTCAATGCGTGAACCTGTAGTTCATTTTCACCGTCATAAAGTATTCCATTATGGGAAGATACTCCAATTTATTTATCCATTCACCTGCTGGTGGACATCTGGGTTGTTTCTCATTTTTATCTTCTCCCTTCTCATACTTGTTTTTGAATCTACACTCTACTGGCCTCATCAGATAAACAGGAGAGTTTCCCTTTTTCTCTTCGCTGAAGAGTTTGAGCAGGACTGGAACGATCTTTTCCTTGAGTGTTTGGTAGAACTCCTTAGCAAAACCAAGTACTACCGGTGTTTCATTCACTTTCTTTATTTTTTTAATTTTTTTTGCAGTACACGGGCCTCTCACTGTTGCGGCCTCTCCCATTGCAGAGCACAGGCTCCGGACACGCAGGCTCAGCGGCCATGGCTCACGGGCCCAGACGCTCCACGGCATGTGGGATCTTCCCGGACCGGGTCACGAACCCGTGTCCCCTGCATCGGCAGGCAGACTCTCAAGCACTGCGCCACCAGGGAAGCCCACTTTCTTTATTTTTTAATGTTTATAGGACCATTCGGGTTTTCTATTTCTTCCCAAGTCAGTTTTGGTAAGTTCTGTTGCTAGGAATTTGTGCACTGTATCTGAATTTTCCCTTGTTTGGGGCATAAAATTGACCACAATGTTCTTATCATCTTTCTTAATCGCTGCAAAATCTATAATAATATCTCCCTTTTAGTCTTAATACTGTTTGCTTATGATGTTAATGATTAATTTCTCTCTGTGGTTTTGTCAATGTTACTTTGTCAGTTTTACTTTTTGCAGCTGGTTTATTTGGTACATACAAGTTTAGAATTCTTATCCTTCTAGTGAATTGAATCTTTTTTCAAAAGATGGTCTTTATCTTTAGTAATCCTTTTTGCTCACAGTTCACTTTGTCTGATATTAATATAGCTACCCAGATTTCTTTTGGTTAGTTTTGCCTAGTATATCTTATTTTTCCTTCCTTATACTTTCAACTTTTTTGTTTCCTTAAGTCTATCTCTTGTAAAAATATTTGTTTGGGTTTAAAAAAAATCAAATCTGACAATCTCCATTTTTTTAAATTGGCCCAGGGTATTCCATTTACATGTCCTGTGATTACTGATATATTTTGACTAATTTCTTCAATGTGATTTTGTGTTCTACGTTTGTCCCATCTTTTCTAAAATTTCCTGTCTTTTTTTTTTTTTTTGCTTTGCTTTAAACTGCCTTTTTTCTCCTTCTCTTTCCTCCTTACCATATGGAATTTCCATCCTCTTATTAAATTTGTTTGCCATGCATATTTAACTTAATAGTGTCTAGTGGTATGGAGCCCTTCCTCCTTTACTTAGCTTGCCATCCATGCCAAATGTAAGTTGGGATGAGACACTAAGCTGGAGTCCCACACTGTGTAGACTTTATTACATTACACACATCTAGAGATACTTGTACGTTTAATATTCCTGGACTCCCTTATGGCCCATCTTTGCCCTGAGCTCTGACACTTGAGGCTCGGAGATGTATGTGGGGTTCTAGGAGAGCACATAATAGGTTGTCTGCCAAGTGCTTATGGTAAACATCTTATTTTTACCTTCCCATCATCAATTCCCCTTCTCTTGGTAATAACACCTTGATTCTTCTTTGGGATCCAAACTTCCCTACTCTTTGCCCATGTGCGTGAGGTGAGATTTACCTTATTCATTGCATTGGCTCCAGGTCTGGGTACAGAGGTAAACACAGGACCCCATCCAGCCAATGAAACTTAAGCCTAAAACTTTCTGTTGGAACGGGAGGAAAGGAGAATATTTTCCATTGGGGCTACTAAGATGGTAAGATGTAAGCTTGGAGCTCCTGGTGGCCCCATGGGGAGACTCTAACTGAAAATGAAGGCAACACAGGGTGAAACTGAGTTGAAAGCTGGAGAAAGACAAATTTATGATGACATTTGAGCTCCTGAATCCAACTTGAAGCTACCCTTGATTTCTTCAGTTCTATAAGCTAATTCCCTACCTCCACCAATCCCAGCCTCTTTTAACTGGGTTTCTGCTACTGACAGTTCATAGTGTCCTAATAGCATTCTTAAATAAATGTTCTTTGAATATCTTTTCACATGAGGGTGCTATAATATGTTCAGCCACCAGGGGTCAGGACCCAGTTTCAGTGAGAAGCCTTGCTCAGTCTCGCTCTGAACCTCTGTTTCCTCATCTGTGAAATATGTTAATAATATCAAGCTCACAGGACTATTGTAAGGACTACAGATAATGACTGTCAGTGACCTTTTCCATTACCATCTACGGCTTATAGTACAAATTATCACACAGAACCACCACATGCACACATTACTCTGCTCTGTCTTGTACTTGCACCTATACACGTGTCATCCCCATTGCTTGCAATTCCTTTACCTTCTTTGCTGTGCACTTTGAAGTGTTTCAAGGTTCTGTTCAGGCATCACCTCCTCTGGGAAGCTGTCTCTGAGGTCTCCCAGGATTACTGATTCCCTCCTGGCTCCTACAGCCCCTCTGCTGAGACACTTACCTCCTTGGGTTAACCATCAATTTACCTGTCTATCTCCCAGACTAAAGGCAGGTGTTGGATCTTTTGTCATCTACCCCACTGTCCAAGTTTATAGCAGGTGCTCAATCGTGTGTGTGAACTAATGAATGAAAAACCCAGCCAATCTCATTTTCGATAGCGATTCTCCCATTTTCTGACTTCCCAAGTTCACAGATCAGCAGAAGCAAAAGCACTTCCCCTGGCTGTGGGGCAGCCCTTACCCCACTCTGTGTGGTGTCTCATGCTGGCTTTATTTCTATATCTACCTTCCCACTCCTACCAGCCCAGAAGAGCATTGTGAGCCAGGACCTTGGGACAGACAGTGAGGCATGGTGACCATTTCAGCAAATACCTGCTGAGCACCAGCCCTGCGTTGGGATGATTGGGACAAAATGTGAGATTTAGAAGCAGGAGTCATGCATTCAGTTTGAGGCTTCCTCACTCCCCTGCTGTCAGGTCTCAGGCAACTCCACCTCCCTATCGAAGCCCATCTCCTCATCTGTAAAAATGGGCATAATCCCAGGGGAAGTGCTGTAGAAGCCAGGAGAAGTGATGGGAGAAATGTTTAGAAATTCCAGAAGATTCTCCCTTTCTCCCTCCTCCTTTGTTTCCCAAGACGGGTACAGCCATTAGCTGCTTTTTCCTGAGGGTCACCAAGAACTGGCCCTTGAGGGGCTGCGTGTTGTAGGCTGGGCTGCTCCCTGAACCCAGACCCTTGCTTATCCTGCACCCAAGCATCTGGGGGAACTGCCACACCCAGAAGGGCAGTTTCACGTGTATCTTGGGAACTGGGTCAGTGCAAAGTCCCCTCTCCTTTTTGAGGAAAGGGAAGTGGGAGAGCTTAGAAAGGGGAAGTGGCCCTCTAGTGCCCTGGGAGCCAGCTGCAACCCACCAAGTGTCTGTTCCCTTGCCTTACACTTTTGCCAAAATCAGGGGTGACCCTCTTCTCCAAGCAGACCTAATTTCTGGTTGTCCTAAAATTAGCTATGAGGTGGAAATTTCAGGATGCCAAGTTACCCAGAGCCCACTCATATGAGTGTTATCTTCAAATAACTTTGTTTTCTACCACAAACCAGTACTTCCCAGTATTTGGCCGAAATGACCAAACGTCAGCCCTCCACTCATGAAAGAAATGATTTTTTTCAGGGCCTTCTCATACTTTTCCAGAAGTAAACACAGAGGGTTTGCCTGTGTCAGCGTCTGCTTTGAAGGGTGGAGGGCCGGGGCAGGATGATGGGCGCCCATGGCCAAGTCCATAGATGGAGCTCTCTTTCTGTCCTTCAAGCTGGGCAAAGGCTTCCTGCAGGAGTTTTGCAAAAACAGTGTTCATTTTCATGACAAATAAGGTGGGAGAGGCATGCACCCACCACTGGGAGAGCCAAGGCCTCAGGGCGTGGGTCTGGCCCTCAGTCAATAGTCACATTGAGTGCTTACTGTGTGTTTGGGGTGCCTTGGGGGCCCCACCACCCACTTCTTTACAGATGAGGGAGCTGGCTCTTCGTGGGATTAAGTGACCTGCCTGACCAAGGTCACAGCAGTGCGTGGAGGAACAGGGCTCTGTGCCACGTCTGCTAGGTCCAAAGCCTGTGCTCTGAGCCCTAAGAGCTACCAAATGACAGCCACCATGCACTGAGCCAGGCCTGGTTCTGGGCGTTTTGTAAATATTAGCTCGACCTCAAGGGGTAGGTACTATTAGTCCCCTATTTGATGGAGGAGGAAACTAAGGCAAAGAGAGGTTAGGAAACTTGCCCGAGGTCACATAGCCGGTGATGAGTGTTGGGCATTGTTATAGCACGCCAGGCTTGCTGCTTGAAGGAGAAGTGAAGGCGTGGTGCGGCTTACTTCCACTCAGCCCTTCCTTTGCCTCCGTGTCACCCACTTTTCGCTGATGAATGAGACGGCAGAATAATAAAATGTTGAGAGTGATCATGGGTCAGGCACTTAACGCTGAACTCTCACAATATCCATGTGATACATATGATAGAGTTACGATATTTTTATCTCCAACAGATGAGGAAGTCTGAACTTCCCAAAGAACTTCAGTTCACTTGCACAGCAAATAAGTGGTGGAGGATTGAAAGAGCCCAGCTTGGCCCACCTGCAAAGCTGGAGATTCCCTGCCCCCACCTCCCCTCCCCGTCCAATGCATGTGGACCCTGGGCCATGCTCAGATCTCCCCAGTCCCAAGGGAGATCTTGTGTTTACCCTGCCTGGCTGCTTCAACCCTAAGTAACCTCTATTTGAGACTGGCTGGCTTGCCCAATCCTCTCCCTGAAACTCTGGAATGTTTTGTAAAACCGAAGGAAACCCCCAAAGCCCTGCCCACTCACGCCAGTGGGTGCTCACGGAAAAAGAACCCACAGTGCCCAAGGCAACTCTCAAAGTCATGTCCTATCACTCACTCCATCCCACCCCTCTGAGGCAGGCGAAAGGTCACGTCCATTTCATAGATGGGAAATTGAGGCTCAGAGAGGCTGCCATTTGCCCAAGGTCATCCAGGTGGGTCGGGCGCTGCATCCTGGGCTCAGCTCCTGGCATCACTATGCCAGTTCTTTTGACTGAAGACTTATTTGCTTTGTAGTCTCTGAACGGCTCAGGTCCTGGACGTGGGCTCACCTCTCTGATGGTTCCTCCTTAGCTCCTTCTTCTCCCTCTTCCCTGCCCCTCTGTCCATCCTTAAATGCCAGAGACCCCTTCTCCTTGCCAGCTATACCTCTGCCCTAGTCAGTCCCCCTCACAGCCCTTCTAGGACCCTCCCCCTGAGTGGCGTCCAGTAAGTAATGCCTTCAGAGGTGGCTGGTCGGCCCCTGTACAGCCAGTCTAGAAAACAATTAAGCAAAGTGTAATAAAAGGCCTCAAATATCCCTCTCCTTTCACCAGTAATTCCGGTTCCAGAAATTCAGTTTCTGGGGAAATAATTTGAAAGAAACAGATGCTCTCTGCGTGGAGATGTTCATCACAGGACTGCTTATAAGAGCAAAAATAACGTCGAGACAAGGGCAAAATACAATAAGGGAACATTTTAGTCAGTCTCGAGTCTCCTCATGGAGCCCCATGCCTGCCAGTGAACTACTGTGGACGACACTGTTCTCGGGCCTGTATATCTGTTCTCTAGCAACATCCCCATTTACAGATGAAGAAATGGAGGCACGGAGAGGTAACGTGCCCAGGGTCAATCAGGCAGTCTGACTCTGCCAGGCTCAACCATTCCCAGGGCAGTGGTGGTTACTGGTCACCATCACCGGCTAGTTAGGTGTTGAACGTAGGCCAGTGTGTCAGGTGTGTGGTGCGTCGCTGGTGGGGTAGGAGAGGATACTAATTTGAGATGTAGTGGGCTTGTCCCCGTTGCCAGTGCCACACCCCCTGCCATTCAGGCAGTGACTCGGAACAGAAGCAGAAACAATGGTGAGAGAGTTCAAGGGCATTTGGCTTTCAGGAGCCTGTGAGAGCAGTTCCCCACCACCCAGAGAGGAGGCTGGGGCAGGAGGCTGAGTTAGCTGCTAGAGTGGGCCCTGCCCCCAGCCTCTCCTTTGGGGGTCAGAATGATCATTGGAGGTGAGGTGAGGGTCTGAAAGTAGAGGGGCTTGTGTCCTACTTCCTAGGACAAGGGGGGTGGGCCTGCAGACATGGCCATGAGGAGGCTTCACGGAGCTCTGTACCCCAGGTCCTCTGCTCTCACATGGGGCACAAGAGGCCCCTAAAATCTCCCAGACCTACAGTGAGCCCTAGCTTGTGGCTGGGCCTTGGGGCCTGCCTGCTGGGCGATTCCTGGGGGCCTGTAGCAGAGGCCGAGGCCCTTGGGAGGGTGTGGCTCTTCCTTAGCAATCCAGGTAAGGCCTGGAGCAGGCCAGCTGTGTCCCCAGGGCCCAGGCATGGCATGGGCACCATGGATGGAGAAGGAAGCCATGGGGGCCAGACAGCCTCTGGGAACTTAGCTTGCCCTGGAGGGAAGGAGGGGGCAGTGGAGAGACTCTTGGATTGACTGGGTTCAACTTCCAAAGTCACCATGTTTACAGCTGGAAGTGCCTGAGAGCCCCTGACCTGGAAAATGTACGTTTCTCCACCATCCATGAAGTGGTGGCCTGTGGGCATCCACAGCAGAATGAAGCAAAGACTCTTACACCTGAGCGGACTCCGCGCTCTGCTCTAAGCTTCCGTCCCAAGCCAAGCATTAACGCCCTTGGTCCTTTTCCCAGCCCTGGGAGGGAGGGGCTGGGATGATCAGTCCTACTTTTCAGATGGGGACAAAGTTTCAGAAAAGGAAGTACCTGCCCATCAGTCGCCTTCCCATCGTCTGTGAATTCCCGGTCCCTCTCTCCCCTCCCCGTCCCTCCTTTCCTCCCCCACTTCCAGCCTCCTCTGCCTAGGATGGCACCTCTAACCTCTGCCCTTCAGCTTAGAAAACTCCCGCTTGTCCCTCAGGAGTCAGCTGAGCCATCACCCCTTCCAGGAGGCTTTGCCCGATTCCCGGGCCACCCCGGGGCCCTCTTGGTCCCCATACCTGCCAGGTCCCAGCACTTATCCCACATGTTTGTACCCTAACAGCCCATCTCGTAGATCCATTAGTCACCCTCTTTACCGCCCCCACACACACACCCTACGGGGAAGGGGCACTAAAGAACAACTGAGTGAATGAATCAGTGAGCTCAGCAGCCCCTAACGCAGGGACCTGCTTAGGATCTCCATATGTGGATCCTCTTGTCGCCATGATATCAGGACCACATCTCTCATGAGCGACAGAAAGGGAGTACAGAGCGTGGTTTCAGGGCTTGTGTAAGATGGCAACAGGAATGGAGTTTCTCTTTGACTTTCAGCGTTCCATTTCAATGATGATGAAATATTTATAAATATTCTGTGTTTCCCAAGTCAGTGTGGAAAAGGGAAGATCCCCCAAATCCTCTGGGTGCTGGGGATTGCCCTGCTGCCCACCCAGAGCGTCTGTCCCTGGGTGACATTGGCATGTGCTCAGTCCTGGAATGAGGAAGGCCTGAGTCTCATCCACCCGCCTGTGAGTCCCAAAGCCTGTGGCCCTCCCTGCAAGCTGCAGCCTTCTGCACGATCAGATGTGGACAAGCAGAGCCACATGCCACTTTTGGGAACTGGGACAAACTCCCCTGCCCCCCACCTCCCTGCCCAGAGATGGGCAGGGAGGGAATGGTCCTCACTTCTCAGGGGAGCCTCAGGCTGGGAGAAGAAGACACAAAGATTTATTCAGCCTTGCATTAAAAGGACACCCTAGGGCTTCCCTGGTGGCGCAGTGGTTGAGAATCTGCCTGCCAATGCAGGGGACACGGGTTTGAGCCCTGGCCCAGGCAGATCCCACATGCCGCAGAGCAACTAAGCCCGTGCGCCACAACTACCGAAGCCCGCGCGCCGTGCTCCGCAATAAGAGAAGCCACTGCGATGAGAAGCCCGCGCACCTCAACGAAGACCCAACGCAGCCAAAACTAAAAATAAATAAAATAAACTTACTAAGAAAAAAAAAGGACACCCTAAAATACCCGTTGGGTCTCAGGCACACCCCATCCCTGTCCCCTGACACTACCACAAACAGCTGTTGTAGGTTTAATGAACACAGCATCACCCTAAAACACAGAGCCCTGTGACTCACTGCTGTTTCTTTAAGAGCAGTGACGTCTGATGGAAGCCTTAGCTCTCTTTGACAGATGAGGAAACTGGGGCTTAGAGAGGGATGTGATCTTCTAAAGGCCATACAGCCTGTCAGTGGCAGAGGCAGTGAGAAACCCCGGTCCCCTGTCTGCCAGGCTGGGTCTCTCTAGGAGTTCTGTCCTGTACCCAATCTGCATCCCTACCTGCCTGTGACCCCTGCACTCAAAGCTCAGCTTGCGACAAGGACATGTTTTACTGAATTTGCCTGCATACTCAGGGTGATTCATTAGTATGAGAAACAGGTTCCCCCTCGCCCTCGCCAGAAGATTTTTGACACAAACACAGTTGGGGGTTGGCATAACTTCTCTCTCTTGTTAAGCATTTATATATAATTAGTGTTGGAATGGTCCCCTGAGATGGATCCAAGCCCCCCATTTTCAGAGGAGGGACACGAGGCTCAGGGTCAGTGTCCAAACTGAGCGATTCAGTGGTACAGCTGAGACACTAGTCCACAGAGCCTGCCATGGACTTTTCAGCTTCTCCTTTACAGAGGGGCCACAGGAGGGAAGGAGGGAAGGAAGGAAGGAAGGAAGGAAGGAAGAGAGGGAGGGAAGGAGGGAGGGGGGAAGGAAGAAATAAAGGGAAAAGAAAGGAAGAAAGAAAAATTACCCCTTACAAGCATCTACCCTGTGTCGGGAGCTTTGCACAAATTGGTGCTAAGGCTCATCACAGTCCTCACAGGGAGGTATTTTTATCCCTATTTTGCAGATGAGCAAGCTGAGGCTCAGAAAGGGCAAGCCACCTGCCTAAAGTCAAGGAGCCGGCAAGTGCTGGGGCTGGAATTGGCACCCTTTCCTTTCCCCTGCACCAGCGGTTGGCAGACAATAGCCTGCAGGCCAAAAGCAGCCCACCACCTATTTTGTTGAAATGGTTGAAAAAAAAAAGTGAATAGAAGAATAACATTTTGTGACTGGTGAAAATGATATGGAACTCCAATTTTGGTGCCCATAAATAAAGTTTTATTGGAAGACAGCCACCCCCATTCATTTACGTATTGTCTGGGGCTGCTTTTGCGCCATACCACCAGGGTTGAGTGGTGGTGACGGAGAACATAGGCGCCGCAAAGCTAACTTATTTACTATGTGGCCCTTTGCAGGAGAGGCGTGCAGAGCCCCGCCCTCCACCCTGCTGTCTCCCAGGGGTCTGGAAGGTCTGCAGGGCCTCCCTGTAGTTGCGCGGGCTGTCCTCTGCACAAGAGCATGGGGGCTGAAATCC